GGGAATAAAAGTAGCAAGCAGTTCTTTCATCAATTATTCGGTTTTTTCCAGCAATGAATCCCTGGCAGTCTTGAACAGTCATTTATAGTGGACCAGATGAGTCCAGCATGTAGCTAGGCAATAGCCTACCACCAACATGTACGGACGACAATATTTAACGGTCTCTGATACTCAGAAGTTCTTTATTGGGAATGGCCCATTATAGTCGGCTTATTTGCATAACTAACGGTCTGTAAGCTATGCAAGCAATTGTACCAGGATGTAAGATAGATAGCAATGTAAGATATAAAGTGGCGTTGCAAACTGGCCATACAATGACAGAAAATGACGAACTGAATGACATAAAAGTAACGTGAAAATGACCTCCTAATGTCACACATCGATGACGTCATATGGCAGAAGTCAATAATACAGCACTTGCTGGACATGATGATGACGTCTATTATTTAAAACGAATAACCAGTTTTAGGTTCTTCAAAAAATCATATTGCGTTACCAGTAGTATTGCCCTGACGAAGCACCATTGAAACACTGGGTCACCAGTCGACGAAATTCGACATAATTAGTAGCCCCCGCAACCCTCGTTCTACCAGTTTACACATTTGGAGTGGAATACTACGCTCATGTTTTCATTCTTATACCCTATGAGCTCTATAATACTACGGGTAACATACATGTATTACACGCAATATGCTAGAGAATTAAAGTCACGTGAGCCTGAAGCTATTTTCAAAATGATTTGATTTTTTATGGTTTTGGAAATATTCAGTACGTTGAAGCAACAAGGCGCGGGTAGCAGATAAAATTGTCGGAAGCGTGAAGAAATAACATCGACTGCAGCGATCCGCGATTGTCGTTTGCTGTCAATTTTGTCACTTGATTCAGCGTTGCCAGATTAAAACGTTTTCAAGAATACATAACACATTCAATAGCTAAAATGTGGTATGTGTTCTTTCTGCTTTCTTATGTTTTATCGAAATATTGTAATCCAATAAGGTAATTCTTTCCTTCATTATGTACTCACATTTATTTTTAAAAATCAGGAACAGGTAATTTTGCAGAACAGCCGACGAGAGCGCGGAACCGTGTACATTTAAATTTGCTAAAAATTAGTGATTTTATAGATTAGTGCCCAGTATTAAATTAGTATGCTTAGTAAATACCTATTTTTGTTACTATCTATTTGATATCCGTATATGAGTGGAGAGCTTTAGCCTTAGTCAAGTATCTCTCCCGCGAATTCAGAGAGAGCGAGAGAGAGCTCTAATTAGAGCTACACATTTTTCTTTGATCGGTGGCCGAGATCAAAGGGGAACACTACAAAAGGGAGTAATTTTCGCAAGTGGCGAAGGAGAGACGCCGTACGAAGTGGAGTGCTCGAAGATTGGCGTGCGAGCGATTTTTGAATTAAGGAGGGTCATGTATGTGACGAGCTAAGGATGGTCGGAGACCCGTATTTTCGTTCTCAAGACCGACACTCTTTCGAAGAAGTGAAGAGGGGCTACATTGTTGTGTAGATTGGGCCATTTAAAGTTTGTAATTTGAATCTGTTATGAAGCAGAGACTAACTCTTGGTTTTATTTGAGAGGTCGTACACTGACGTTTGAAGATGAATCACAATGTATAATTGCCAGAGCTCGCCTGACAGTATCTCATCCGATTGACGCAACTCTCAACTACTTTTCGGTCAGATATTTGAAGTCCCTAGCTGTGCCTGAATGGTTGGCAAAACACTTATCCTTACGACTCGGGCAAATAGTTTAACTAGTTCAAATCGTATCTTCGAGACCATGAATGGGTAACATTGCTATATAACTCTCAGAATTTCTAATGTTCAAAACGTATCCTGGTATCATAAAATGCTCCAGGATAAAAGGAATCCCCCGCATGATATAATGATACATCTATTGATTGGTTACAAATGCCTCTTTTCGCAAAGTTCTACGCCAGGTTAGCTGCAGTTGCTCACACACACACACCCTCCTACCCTGTGCGGACCCTCCACCACCCCTGTTCCAGGCAACCTCAAACCCTTGAGGAGTGGGGGGAAGAGCAATCTTTTGGTCCATCTTGACTCCAAGGTACGTGCTGGAGTCCTTCCAAACGACCTCAACTTCTTCGTCTCTTCTCCAGCCTCTCTCCATTCTTGTGGTCGTCATCTCTATTTTGGTTTGAGGTAATCTTCGATTCTTTCGGAACAGTACCGCTTCGGTCTTCTCAGGGTTGAGACGGATCTTCCACTCGATGCACCATTCCACTAGGTTGGTAGTCGCTCGTTGCAGATATTCCGTAACCATGCGGGGTCTCGTACTTTCTGCCGCATATGCTGTATCGTTCGCATACACATACAGTTGCATTTGTGGAGTCTTCGGGATGTCTGAACTGTAGATTGCATACAGCAGGGGTGATAAAACCGCTCCCTGCGGTACTCCTGCCTTCACAGTCCTCGTCGTCGAAGTTGCTTTACCAATCCTAATTCGGAATTTACGGTGCTTCAAATAGGACTTCACCAGTTGGATCATCCCTGTTGAGTATCCGAGGTCTACCATCTTGTAGATCAGTCCGTCATGCCAAACAGTGTCTAACGCCTTAGCGGCATCCATGAACACAGCTCGCACGGCCCACCGAGTCTGGAACGATTTCGTTGCCATCTCGACCAGCCTTAGGACCTGGTGCTCTGCTGAATGTTCGCTTCGGAATCCGAACTGTTCGTCTGGAACTACTCGGAGTTCTTCAGTTTCGTTCCTCAGTCTTCGTTCGATTACCCTTTCCGCAATCTTGCTCAGTGCCGTCAACAGGCTTATGGGTCTGTAGTTTTGGGGGAACCTTGGGTCTTTCCCAGGTTTTGGTATGTTGATCACTTCGGCTACTTTCCAGTGTTCTGGAAAGTATCGGTGTCTCAGTATGGCGTGACAATGTTGGTGATTGCCATTATCGCTTTCCTCGGGAGTCTCTTCAAAACTCTGTTCCCAATTTTGTCTACACCCGGTGCTTTCTTCACCTTGAGTCTTCCGATGATTTCCCTTACCTCGCCTGGAGAGGTCATGACTTCGATGGCTCTTCCTCCTCTTACAGCTCTCCTCGATCTTCTTATCACCTCGTCGATGAAGTCTTCGTCTTCATCGGGGTGAGTATTGAGAGTACACTGTCTCTGAAGGTTGTCAGCAAAAGCTTCTGCCTTCTCTTCGATTGTGTACACCATCCCCTGTTCGCTGTGTATTGGGGGGATGGGATGTCTTCAGCTTCTGAGGATTTTTGCCAAGTTCCACATTCCTGGATCAGCTGGAGATAGTTCTTCAAGTTTCTTATCCCAGGTGCTCTGATGACGTTGCTTCAAGGCGTCTCTTGCCTGTCAGTCTGTTTGCCACCATGATGTCCATGGGGCTTCTCGTCTCCTGGGCTACTCTTCGGGCTCTATTTCTTTCAGTGATCTTGCGATTTACCTCGTCAGGTAGGTCCCTGAACCTGTTTTGTTGCGTTATGTCCTCCACGGTGGTTGCAGCTTCTAACGCAGCCTTAATCTTCCTTTCTAGATCCGTGACCGCTTCCTCTACGTCTTCAGGGCTGTCAATCTGTAGTAGTGGTCCTAGTAAATGGTGTAGTCTGATTCTAAATCGCTGCCAATCCACTCTCTTCACTGTTCGTTGTTCCACAGGTGTTCTCCCATCTCCCAAATGAAGAAAGATGGGGTTGTAGTCTGAACTTCCCTCTTGCAAGGCGCCGATGGTCGTGAGCAGGTCGATTTCTTTCAGAATCGCCATATCTATGACTTCTGGTCTTCCTCCGTTGAGCTGCAGTTGGCACCTTAGTACTGCGACTTATGTGGAAAATTTCACAAATGTTTGTATGTTCTACAATAGACTCACAAGTATTATCTAAACCGTTTCGTAGAGCTAAGTATGATACATAAGTACATGTCACCTTGGCTGTGGCCTCGGTATGATTAAAACCATTCATTACCTTTTAAAATTGTCGTATGTGAACTTTCAACTACAACATATGAGCTTAGGCATCCTCTTCTTAGGGGCCTGGGTAGCGGAGTGGTTAGCACGTGTGTTGTTTATATCACGCCAGATCGGCAGGGGTGTTATGTAAAAAACCTAAGACCGCCAAAAAAACGACGAAACCCCTGTTTTCAACCAAGGATTTAGATCAGTCCTTTGAAATCAGTAGTTGAATGAAACAGGCAGAAACCATATCTCAGAAACTCAGGAACTTACTACAAAATAACGCGTTGACTTGTGTACTATGATGCGAACACACTGTATAAATATTATTGTTATAAACTGTTAGCAAATGTTAGGTAGTGCAATTAATATTGGTCACCGGAAATGCTACGGTAAGCAGAGCACTTACCTTGCAATACCTAGCAACGAAGATTAAACAGAATGAAGTTAAAGATGGACAAATTAAGGTGTTTCTCTGTGGGAGTGAAGCCCAAGCTTACAAATTTATTACAATTGCATAACGTGAAAGGCTTTCAAATTTTATATGATTGTAAAAGTTTGCCTCTGAACACTGCTATGATCATTAGGACAGAAGCATTTGATATGTGGGTGTATCGAAAAATACTTAAAATGGTATGCCAACGTACCCAATTAAAAATATATAATCCGGAGGCCAAAACACGAGTTCCGTCAGTTAATTCTCAACGGCAACTTCAAAGGAATAAAATGGATATTTGGAAAAAAATACATTTGTTGGATGAGTGGCAAAGGTCAGGCCAATGAGTTCGATTTCAAATTTTCCTCACGTTAGGCAGCGCTGGTGTGGTTAGAGGTCAAACTGTTAAAAGCAGATTTTATAGAAAAGTAGCCTATTTTTCACGACCTTATCGTGCTTTGATGTCCATTGTCGTAAATAGCTTATCAGCAGTGGCGTAGTGATATACGCTTTTGGGTCTACTAATCAGTCACCGTGCCTTGCGCGGATTCGAATCCCGTCCCAAGACAATCTTCTCTCTTGGCTATAGATGTTGTCATTGTCCGTAGGTGGTAGACGGTCTATGTATGCCGAACGCGGAGGTACCACCCGGCGAATCTCCAGGGCGGGGCCAGAATGTGTGCATGTTGCATGCACACAAATTTTCATCGCTGGAGTCTGTGTGGCGTCCCCACCTTTCCGCTGTATCTCCCTACAGCATCACGTGATGATTCAAGTATAAAAAAATTCAAACATTAGCACATCCTTCTAGCTTTTCAGATCATTCCAAATTTATCACGTAGCTTTAGACTACGGCACTTATGAAAATATTGTTGAAATGTTATTCAACAACATTCCATAAGAATATGGCTCACTTAAAAAAATCAGTTCGCAGCCGACGTTGACCCAGCATGGCCGCCTTTTCAGATATTCATCACCTACTTTCGCCATGGTCGATCATTGGCCATTGATCATTTATAAATACTCATTATTTTTGATTTGTAGGAAAAAATTCCTTGAGCCAATACATATTCCGAACAATTCCGTCGTTTGTTGGGACAAGCGGATTTAATTTCTGTATATTTAAATGATTTAGTTGCTAAATGTGGTGTTTCAAATGAAAGGCAAGTCTCTACTATGTAAAATAAAATTAATTTGTACTAGTGTATTGAATAAAATTGGAATATTATCTATATGAGTTCATTTTATGACCTTTGTAACATACGTATTGCAGAAAGTTGAAAATAGTCGTGTTCCCTTTTTTCAATAATTGCTTCAAATACTGGGATCATAATTACAATATTTAATTTGGAGAATGCAGTTTAATCTGTTAGGGTATGGACTGCCTTAATGTGTTATGAAGAAGATAGTAAAGGGCAATATGCATATCACATCTGGATGCGGGAGTAATTTGAAGGAAAAGATGGATGGAAAGGGAAACACAACTACAAGCCACCAAAAGGAGCCAACAGGCACATTTGTGACTTCGGTCAGAAAACTCGTGTTGACGAGGTATCAACCAACGTCTTCATGGAGGTCAGCTAAGACTATCTGCCGTGGTACTTCACGAACATGTGTACATACAGAGAAAGGCACGAAGTCTTGCGGAAAATTATGTGACATGTGAAAGACAGTATTGTGCATGTCGCCTGTATCCGGATGTGATGGAAATAATGTTTTCACTTAGGTGTTTTCGATTCGCATACATTTGGGACGTACGTCACTCGGGTTACCTTTCCTCCTTTGTTTTCCAAATAAGTTTCCACAAGACTACTTGTCGTTCTTTGTCTGAAAAAATAATAGCAGTTTGAAGGTGGATGCTCATTGAGGAGAATGGAAGAGAAGAGAAATGAAACTCACCGGCGGAGTTCCTTTACACACAAGTGCAAATGTCGCCGCGGTCCCTTCGCATCGATTTCACTCAGTGGGCGCGTAGCTTAGGGCCGTATCGTCAGTCTACTATTGTAGGACGCCTTTATGGCCTCCTTGATCTTCATAGTTTTCTACTGTTCCGTGTCAGCGCTCTATTCTGAGGTTATGTCACAAATATCTATTTGCATCAAATTGTTCATGCTTTCGGTTTATATCGTTTGTTTTATCAGCCTGAAATTCCCTACAGTTCAAAAAGAAAACATAACTCCATAATACGAGAGCGCTGACGCTGACACGAATAGAAGAAGTATAGAAATATTTGTGAAGAAGAAATAAGACCATGAGATTCTAGGAGGCCATTAAGGCGTCCTACAGTTGCAGGGACGACTGTTGATATTGGCCTGAGAGGGCTGAATTTCTGCTGCTCAGTTTCACTGACGTTCAGTTCACTCTGCTACTCCTACTTTTATGAATTCGGAATGATTGAAACTTCAAAACAATGTCACATTTTTTTAGTTTGGCATAAAGCGATGCTGCTATCACCATATGTTCTTCTAAGCCTTACAGCCTACGCCTTTGGTGAGTCTAACATGCGACACAAAGTACGCCACTCTTTATTATGTCGTCGCTTTAAAGTGAATAGGTTCTTGCAGGTTCACACTCGTAAACTGGAAAATATAAAGTACTGGTGTCGCACATGACAATTGGTGCCTTCTGAATTCCTATTTCATATATCGTAGTACCTCTCCTCCCCCCAAATATTGGGTTTTGCCTGCTGTCGACAAGATTTTTTTTAGTGGCTTTTAGCGGAATCTAACTCGCGAGTTATTACGTTCATGTTTTTTGCAAAGTTGTTAGAAAATATCTACCTACGCGAGCGATCCTGTTGGAAGTATTTGAAGCTGCACTTTCTCAAAATGTCATATGAGAAGGAACAGCAAAGGTTATTAGTACAGGGTGCGGCAGAGAGGATGGACGGTTTTAAAAAAATCATAAAATAGTTAATTTTTACTCGAAAACAGATTTATTGATGGAATGAGGTTTACAAGGAAATATCATTTGAGACAATCAAGTGTGGAAAATCACATCAGGCATGTGATGGCCGAAATCGTTGATGCAGTGCTGGAGGCGTTCTTGGACGTTCGCGTAGACTCTCTCCAACATCGCTCTCTCAACTTGGGCGACTTCCACGCGAATTTCGCGGAGATCCATATGCAAAATTCGCCTTACCGAACGATCACTAAGGCGAAGTGCAGCAGCATGTTTCCGGGCAGATCGAGTCGGACAGCGAAGAAAGACCTGTCGAACGCGTTCAACATTTTCAGGAGTTCGAACTGTTCGCGGCGCTCCTCTTGGTCTTCTATTGATCAGTTCACCACGCCTGCGAAGTGATTCAATCCAACGAAGGGTGGTGCTTCAAAAGGAACAGCTCTATTCCGATGAATGTTGAAGTGGCGACAAAACTCACGCTGTACGACGATGACTGACTCATTATTTCGGACGAAACAATCATACGCGAAAACGCGGTGCTCCACCGTCCAAGGCTCCATAACGGCAACTGGTAAAATATCACGAGTCAAACGGCACCCTCCCCACCTCTCTCGTAGACGGAGGCGGAGAGTACTACCCATCCCAAAAACGTCCATCCTCTCTGCCGCACCCTGTACTTTGGGAAGAATTCGAAAGAACACAGCGACCATGACATGCCAGGAACATACGATAAAAACTACAATTTTATGCCAAGATTGCATTATACAGGAAGACGAATAGATTGAGTGCACTATTTGATTATCTTGTTGACTTCGATTTTGTTCATTTAGTTTTTTTTGTTACGGTTATGTTTGTTTAATGTTTCCTTTTAATGGTCCAAATGCGAAGTTTTGTTTACTTAACGAATGTACTTATGTTTCTTTAATAAATATTAACAAAAAACGCTGCAGTGGATTTTATTTCTATATAAAATTAACATACATTCATATGTTAGATTATATCTAATACGCGCGTAACGACGTAATAATTAACCGCGCGAGTGACCGCGGGTTTTAACGAAAGAAGAAAATCACTAAACCACAATCATGTCGGAATTATTCTAGTGTAGTTGGATGCAGCAATGAAAATAGGTTCTTCTTTAGACACGATGTACGTTATGAACTATGGGAAATCCTTTAATAGCAGTACGTATTGTTTGTTGCGATCCAGAAAATATTAATCATTCAATGTGGTTCCAGCTTTGTCTATAACATGGCTGGTGATGTGGGAGTGGATTATGTAAAGGTCTCTACTTACACTCATCACATCGATCATAGATCGTAAAGGGGTAATTAAATAAATTAGTTGACACGACTGCATGTGAGCTTTCCATGCTGTATCATGTAAGACCATAAGTTGCAAATGTAGTCATTATCCATTCATGGGTCTCTGGTGCCTGTTTTGAACGGATAATAAGCTTCCGTGATAACATCGAAAGCTCAGTGCATGCAAGAAAGGATAAAATCGATAATATTATTTGCATACATTACAATAACTAGCAGCAAGATTAACTCCAATTAAATTATTTCCCTGGAAACGTTACATAACAGACAGGAGCTTCTATATTATAACAGTAATGGTTTCTGGCTTCACAGTCGCATAAGAATACGAGGGACACTAGAAAAGAAATCTACCTAACAACTAAAATGTACAAGCACAATATGTCGAACAGACATATGTTCCAGCCTTGCTTGCAAAATTTGATTTGATTTTGATGAATCTTTTCCAAGTTATAGAGTGAGTTGTAAGGAAAAATAGGTATTTCAAAATTTGAGTACGGCAGTGTCACTAAATTTCTGACAAAGAGGGTCATCATTCAAAAATAATTTTTGAGAGAATGGTTGTTGTCTTTTGGGATGATAAACCATCATATTTCAAAATAAAAATTTTGTCGAAACAGTTCGATTGGGGCGTAAATCAGCAGAAGTCGAAGACTCAAACTGCAACAGTTGATCAATGACTCAAAAGGATAAAGCTAAGGTTTTTGACAATCATGTGGATGTCTCTAACATTTGTATAGCATTGAATGTATTGTAATAACCTGCCTGTATGACAATGTGAACATGAGTAAGGTGTAAGCCAGGTGAGTTCCACGATTGTGGACATCTGAACAGAAATTGGAAAGGTTCGAAGTTTGAGAAAGTTATTTGGAAACGTTGACCAACGGTTCTGACCTTTTGTGACGGGCAGCAAGTCCTGGATGCATCTTTGGGATCAGAGACAGAAAGAGAATCCAAACAGTGGGTTCATAAATGGTCTCCACCCCAAAATAGCACCGACCCAAGTCTCTGCTGGAAATATGCAATAGTTTCCTGGGACATCACGAGCATCATTCTCATCAAATATATGCCAAAGAGTACAATAATGAATGCATGCGTCTATGCAAACACGCTGACAGAGTAAAGCAATCAACTCGAAAAGACCCGATTTTTTCCACCGAGAAGTGTTTCTGCTGCATGACAATGCGACCGTGCATAAGCCTGCCAAAATTCGCTTCATCAATTGTGCAGAAATGCAGATTATTTGAGATAGACCATGCTCCCTATAGTCCGGATTTTTTGAGAGTCAAGAGGAAATATTTTATTAAGAAGGAGAATATGATATAGGGGGAAGTATATTGAAAATGAAATTATCCAAAAATTGTACGTCTTTTATTCCGTGGCTTGCTAGATTTCTTATCTCGTATCTCCTACAGGTAAGTTAGCCTCATATGTCAGGTAATTCGCACCACTGAACTGAACACCATGGTAGAGTTCGAACAGCCTAAGTTAATGCCCGCTACGTCATCACTTTATACCCTCTCCCTTGCGTCGATTGTACCCTATAAGAATATAGGAAATTGTTGTGACAGTCTCTGGTAAGATTTATGGACATCTGTTACCGCCCTCTTAATGTGGTCCAGTTCTAATCGTGGCGACTATTTATATCGTAGAAAGCTTAAAAATGTATGTGGTCTTCAATGTCCAGACATTATGTTGCTGTTGACGCTGTTAAGGGACATGCCACTCTCAGTAAGCCATAGGCGGAACGTTTTTTAGTATGTAGATACGCAAGTATCAGTCAGTTGAGCTCTCGATAGACTATGCTAGGTCAACGTATGACCATATCTTCTGATTTTGTATTTTGAAAAAGATGAAAGAGATTGAAATGCCTGGAAAGCGATTTACTCGATAACTGTAATTCGCTTTATTGACTAGGATAGGTATGA